AACTTTTATCTTTTATATAAAGAAGTTCACATGCCGAAGACCAACAGAACACTCACAAATCACTGACGGAACGTGACACTAATGAGGATAAAGTTTTTACGTGAGCTCGTAACCATCCTTCAAATTTGGGCATGTCAAATAATTAACAAAAGTAAACAGCATATTTCTTCAAATTTGGGCATGTCAAATAATTGATGGGTCGCTTATATCATAATTAAAAGAAAACCTTATGCCAGAAAATATGGAATATGACATACGCATGGATGAAGCCAGGAAATCTGTCAAAAAGAGGAACATACAAATTTGAGAAGGAAAAGATTATACAAGAAACAATTACAGATCTAGTACTCAGATAACAAATTTAAGCAAGAATCGAAAGAGGAACCAGACTTGTATAGCAACATTTAAGATCTTCAAAGACTAAATATTAGTAAAACAATCTTGAACGAGATGACAGTTAGCCCTCTTATACTAAAAACACATTATCTCTTCATTGCAAGCATATTTTCTAACAATGACGTTCAGTAATAACAGCTATCTTCATAAACAGTAATTATAAGTCATAGATTTCCCTTCAGCTGTAAGGCATAAAAAGTAATTGCTACCTTCATAAGTTAACAAAAACAAGAAAGTTATTGCCAATAACAAATGACAAACCTAATATAAAGCTGAGCAGGAACCAGGTAAAATACCTACACGAGTTTGGGAAAAATATAAGCGAGAGAGATTATTCATCAACATGTCTTACCAAAGAAAACAATTGTCCAAATCTCTCAAAAGCATAGAAAATGAACCTGATTTATTTTGACATTGCCACACAGGAGTATCATCTATATACACACACCCAATAACACCAATGCTTCCTGCAAGTCCGAAAAAATATACTTTTTCTTCTTTAAGAAAGTAATAAGAACTTCAAGCAGAAGTAATATGCTTATATAGAAGGTTTGAACACCAACAACCAGATGAATGAACTCTCAATTAAAACGTTTCAACAAATGCCTCGAACCTGCAAAGGTAGAACATCATGGTTAAATTTAGATAAGACTTCAGTTAATTGTAATCGAGATGAGTTTGTCTTGATATAGTAATGAGAACAAAAATGCATTTCTATACTACTTGAATAGGAATGGTCATTGCTGATAATAATTCTATAGACTAAAATACCAGATTGACATTTTAAATGGACTCTAAATGACAATAGAGTATTTTAAATAGCTCGGGTTATAATAAGACCTTATAATTACTCAAAAGGAACAACAAGACCCTTAATTTTCATCGGAAATCAATTTTCCGGCCAAGTTCCCTCACATGCTTGCCGCGTGATCATTGTGGGCTGAGTTGGACAATAGGGAATGAATTGCCATAAGGATTGGAGGGAGAAATAACTACGCCTAAAATCTCATCACCACGAAATTAGTCAAATTCACCCTTTCATTCAAAACTTGAACAAGAGAGGGAGAGAGAGAGCAGTTGGAGGAGAGCTTTTACAAGACTCTCTCTGTTCTTGAATGCCACTTGAGAGAAGGGAGAATCTCTTGTGAGGATGGCAACTGGAGTACGGCGTCGACCAGGAGCAAAGGTGAGACTCCTCTCAAACTTTTGAGAGATATATTGTGGGTTTGGCTTTTTTTAGAGAAGGATGATTAATATAGTGTTTATCCTCAATTGTGTTATAATTGATGGAATTTAACAAACTAGGGACAAGTCCCTACCACATTAGTAAGAGAATAAACAATTTCACAAATCACATGCAAGCACGTGAGGGAACGTGACCGGAAAATTGATCTCCGATGAAAATTATGGGCTTCGCCGTTTCTTTTGATCAATTATAAAGTCTTATTGTAACCGAAGCTATTTAAAATACCATATTATCATTTAGGGTCCGTTTAAAATGTCAATCTGGTATTTTGACATATTTCTATAAAATTGCTTTGCAAACCTCATTCCTCGTTTTGATCTTATTTTTTTTTAAGCATCCTCTTTTTAAAATTTCTTAATAATGTAGTGATGGAAGTAAAAGTATATCTTTAACCATTCATGTGAAATAAAAAATTGAACGGGTGTGTAACATATATTTCCAAGAAATGTTTACGTCCGACAAAGACATGAGTTCATGACATTGTGCTTTATGGTTGTGGAAAAAATTGTAAAGGATGTAAAAAAATGAAAGTGAAAAAATATATCACTAGTGATGCCGGAGCAAAAGGAGACCAAATTGCAAATTTAGATTCTCTGTACTGCATGCATTACCTTGATTGTTTCAGTCATAACTTTTCCTAAGAGACTCCAATTGACTCTCCAATTGAAGGATTAGAAAGATTAATGAGCTTGTTCTCAAATAAAACTGGTTTTGCATCTGGAAAAAATTATTTGAGGAATACTACGTAGAGGATTGTGGAGCACATACAATAAGGAGCGCAAGCAACAAGAAAACACAAAGGAGCTTTTAACGTGGTTCGGTCAAACATGCCTACTTCCATGGTTCCTCACCAAGAAAATTCACTATTTTCATAAACAGTACAATCAATACAAGTTCTAACTAGACAAAACTTGAAAACCCTTGCACACTCACATCTCTCGAGGAATCGAAAACACGATCACTCAAGAGCTCCAAGAGACCATCATCACACCACATCACTCAAAGAACCTAACGACGCTGATCATTCAAGAGTTTTAAGACGATACTCAAGAGCTCTAAGAGACCATCATCACACCACATCATTCAAGGAATCCAAGAACACCAATCACTCAAGAGCTCTAAGATCATCATACCAGACCACTCAAAGAACCCAAGATCACCAATCACTTAAGATTTCTAAGATGATACTCCCTCTCACCTAAGGATGACTTTCTCGACACTAACATACACCCTTTTGTAGCCTCTTCATTGGATATTTGCAAGGATTTAATATTGTTAGTAATTTTCAGAAGCAACGTTCAAGCTTCAAATGCATTGAACCCTTCAAGCATTTGTGATCATCATGCATTCATCTACCTAATTTTGGTATTCGTGAGAAGTCCCAACAATTCCTCCCTTTATCCAAATCTTCAACACCTCAATGTGACCGACTGTTGCCAAATGCCAATACTGATAGCACACATCCATTGATTACCATGCCTCTATCGGGCGCCTTTTCTCTAACGGTGTAAGTGAAGCACCCTCACGATCGCCCTCTGTATTAAATGCCACCATTACGATTGCCTTAATTACTAATTACCACTACCGGCCTTCGGGACAACTACAATCATCCATGACCCTTGGCTATCAAAACTAAGCAATCTGTTGTTGCACGTACTCTCATCACATTGCCACTTGTTGTTGTGCCTGACATTCTGTTGCATTGCCGCACACCATCACATATTTAGGATCTACCATCTCCATCAGCGTCCACACATACATATCTGTACTCATGAGATGCTAACCTTCCCAAAATTATAATCGCTTCATCTAACTATATTCTCATCCTTCAACTTTGAGCAATGTCTCCGCAAATGACCCTTTCATCATGCTTGACAAGCTCCTCCCTCTAGTGCGCTACATCCTTCTCATAAACTTTGATAACCAGGCTCTGATGCCACAGTTTGGAATTATGGATCACTCATCAATTTTCTAAAACAAACAAAAGTACAAATCAATGTTGCAACATTTCGACTGATTTTTGTAGGCCGTATTTGATATAATGGAAAAATCATGATATCCCGCCCAATCGCCATACGAGGTATATGTTTTGTGACAAGCCATATGAAAGAATACATTGGCCAAGATATCGGCTGATATATTGGTTATATTGGGAATATATCGTCCAAAATACAAAAAGTAGTAAAGAATATTTAAAGACAATATCGATTACGGCAAAACATGTTAAAGGATACATCAGGCATTGTCGGTGATATTTAAAACAATATTCTCGGCAATTTCCAAGAGCAACCTTCAAGCTTCCAATGCATGCACTCTTCAAGCTTCCATGGTCAACATGCATTCATCTACCTCATTTTGAGATTTGGAAAGAATCCTAACATACTTAAGGATAATCTATGTAGACTGCATGGACTTCTTTGTTTTCTAGGATATTAAGTTAGTCAAATATTTGTTTTAGTATTTTCTATAACATTTAAGTGTCTTCTATGATTCTAAAATTCTCATGCTTGAAGGGATGTTTCAAGTGCATATATATCCTAGTGGTCTAATGAAAATGGTAGTGTTGAGTTTGATTATAGATTTATAGTTAAGCACTGTGTTTTGTTTTTGCTCTATATTTCTTTGATGGATTCCATTGAGTGTGAATATTTATCTGTATCTTTAAATCTTGGAGTGGTGACTGCCATATTTCTCTAGAGTGGTGAATATGTATCTTTAGAGCCGTAGGCCCCTACCCCAATTACTGTCATTTACTCTAAGTTGGTGTTTATGTATAGTGATCGACATCCTATACTCATTTCCTCATATCTCTCATTCATCAATATTACTCATACCGTCCCAATATCAGCTAGTGTGTAACATGTATGAAAGATGCTATTGACAAGTATTAAATATGTGCCTCAAAAGTATTCTACATGGTAGCAAAGGAAGTGTATAGAAATTATATGTGTAACTGGGTCTCAAATAAAAATAGAATGCATTTAAGAAGTGTTCAACATATGACATACTCACCAAGAAGTGTTGGTGTCCAACATGGACAAGGATTCATGACTTTCTGCTTAATTGTGGAACAGAACATAACAAAAATGATCATTTTTCCCGCAACTGTAAAGGCAACACCTGTCATACTGAATCAATTAGGTCCCATGAATTGTTTAAGTTAAGTCAACAACAAGAAGCAGTGAGATGTTTCAAACAGATCATGGGGCGCGTTTATCATAAGGGAAGGTTTATTGGAGATGTTACTGAACTTCTAAGTAGATAGAATGTCCAATTTTATACTTATTCTTCTACTATTAACGATATCCATTAAAATTTTGATTTTGATAGTCCATATTAAATATTTATGCTAGTTGTTAGTTTTACCTGAGGAGGCTAATAATAAGATAATTGAATTGAAGAAAAGGATTCATGCAGTCAACACAAAAAATTTCGGATAAAGGTTTTGTTGTTGTAATTCTACGAAAAACTACTAAAGAAAGAATAAGAAAAATATCCAGTCCAATACACAAATCGATTGACTGGTGATTATAGACATGGTTTTAAATATCGGTCGATAATCCGATATTATCGCCAAATTATTGGATTTGGGAGCTTTCCGCTAGGATAAGTAGGATTTTTAATCGGTTATCGTTTTTTGAGGTTTATCGGGGAGTTATCGGCGATAAAGCACTTATCGGCCGATAAGTAGGCTCTAAATATTGGTTTTATCGGCCGATAAGTAGGATTTGGGAGCTTTTACTTTCTTTTGAATTTTCTCTTTGAATGTTTACAAATTATGAGCTATTTGTTGCTTTTGGAACTTGGTTGATTGGTGATTAGCTAATGTTTGTTTATTGATATTGATAAATGGCTCATAACTACTAAATATCAACTTAGTACGTTAGTTTATGAATCTCACGATTAAACAGTAATTATGTAGATGCGTAGATGGTTCTTCATTCTTGATGTTATCTTATTATTTGCTTGTTTATTATTCCATTTTGACTAACATTATATTTTTTTTCAAACTTATGTTTGTTTATTATTTTCTAGTATATTACTCCGATAAATACTACTTATCCCCGATATATTCCCGATTTCCGCTATCCGATAAGGATTTTGACCGTCCGACAAATCCCCGATAACCGACATTTAAAACCTTGATTATAGGTAACTATTAGATCCAAAGATGTATTGTTGTCAAGAAAGGCTCCTAAAAGAGAAGAAACAATGAGATGTAGTCTTCTAAAATTTTAAGGAAACTGTAGTATCATCCGTTTTCTTCTTCTACTCTATCCATCTCCTGGAGTAGAATATATATACTTCCTCATAGCCTATAGAAAAATCTGTCTTCTGCTGACTAGATTGCCTTTGTCTACAAGAACGTTAGAGGCTTGTTCAATAAGTCACAAATAGATAACCAATAATGTAGATTTTTCCTTCTACCACTGCCATTAAAGAATTTATGAAGCCTCTTCTTCACTTGTTTCTATGCATAAAATTTGCCATGAATAAATGTTTATGTTAGGTTCATATCCTAATAGACCAATAATTCGATAACCAATACTGTGGATTTTCCTCCTACTGCTGCCTTTATAGGATTTATGAAACACCATCTCCATTTTTTTCTATGCATAAAATTTCCCATCACTATATGTTGATATCAGGTTGATAGCCTAATAGACCTGAGTTTGAGTTTGATGGGAAAAAGCCCGACTGAAGATCATGGATCATTCAATACAAGAAAGGCTTCATCTAGGCTAGACAGACAGGAGATCTAGTATGCAAAAGAAAAATTCCAGAACATTTCATAAATACAAGTCCTTCAAGGACTTTTAACCTTTTGAAATTTAAGAATGAATCCGAATACCCAATCATATGAAAGTTTGTATCCTTGTTACTATCTTTAAATAAAGGGATTCCAGCAGTCCGCATGACCAAGATGCTAATACGGCACTTGTCCACTTCGCTCTAAGATTGATTCATACTCTGTTTATTCTTTGGCAAGAACATACCTGAGAATTTCCTTCTTTTTCCTTTCATCTTACGACTGCATGATTAGTTACATACCATTACATATCGGACACTCTTCCCAACCTCTATAGATCATTTTACTGAAACGAGGCTCTTTCATCTCATAAACAGACAAACATGTAAACATATGTGAGTCATATCTTCAGAAAAGAAAAACATGTAGTTTTGTCACAGTTATCCCTATCCAATGCCATGTGTTCATTTTGATCTATGCCTGCAAATCATATGTTAAATACATTAAACTTCTTGTTCAACGAGGCTCTTTCATCTCATAAACAGACAAACATGTAAACATATGTGAGTCATATCTCCAGAAAAGAAAAACATGTAGTTTTGTCACAGTTATCCCTATCCAATGCCATGCGTTCATTTTGATCTATGCCTGCAAATCATATGTTAAATACATTAAACTTCTTGTTCATGAAAATGCTGAATATTTGAACAAATTTATAATATGTTCTTTTTTCCCTTCAGAACCTCCAAAGTCGTTTCCTCCTATTCATTTGTCCAAGTACTGGTAATGCCAAATCTAGAGCACATGCCCATCAAAGCAGCAAAGAACGCACCATTTCCCAGTCATATTCTACCTTTCCTTTTCTCATTATGTAGTTTTTTATTCTTACTGATGTCTTACAGAATTGTATGCCATCACATGAATAGATATTTCCATGGAGCCTATCAGAAGCATCTAAGCATCACTCCCCATATATAAAACGACCAAGATGGAGGTAAATTTTCCTGGCGGTCAGATGAACCAAGGATGGAAAATAAAACTTTGAACAAAGTCATTAGATGAGTTCCGAAAGATATGTAGATTATAGGAAAACATCGGACGTCATCGGTCTCTTCTACAGATGATAATAGATAAATATACATGAACCAAAATGGGAAGAAACATCATGATTTGCAAATTATTGGGGAAAGAAATGTGAAGAATAATTCTTACTTATTCTAGCGAGAATTCTTTGACTGATTTCGGGCTACAGATGGCATCAAACGGTTTGTCAACGAGGCTATCTTTCAAGATGGTAATCTCCCCCTCCTTGATCAGAACACATTCGTCAAGGGCTTCAATTTTCATTTTCAGAGAATTAACCTCAAGATTGAGAAGCATGATTGTTTCTCGCGAATGCTTCGCTTCCTCCCATATATGATCCCTTTCCTCAGAAACCGTCATGAGCACACCACGGGTTGCAGTTAGTTCCTTTGTGCACTCTTGAAGATCTTGCTGGAGTTGCTTGCCACTCTCCTCTTTGCTGATCATCTGTTAATTAATATCAATATTCCTATCATTCAAAGGTAGAAATTGAGAAGGCATGATTACAAACGTCTGCTTATGTATCTCAAAAACAAATGGAAGCAGTGAAGCAGTGAAGCATTGAAATTTACAGAAATTTAATGATAAGGCAATTATGAAAATCAGCAACCGAAGTTGCTGATACAGTGATACTCTCTGCTTTCGCACATCAAATTCTGAATAGATAGCCAAGTTGCAAGAAGATGAAGATAATAAGGTCAAGGCACTTGGTATAAGTTTCAACCAGTTAAACAGAGTAACAGCGAAAATGAAAAGGCACCAGATGCAGTAAATGAAGAAAGTACATTAAGAGCAAAAAGCTAATCAATAATGATTCAATGCCTATTAGTGATACATTTAAGAAAAATTTCTCATTGAATGATCGTTTAAACTTTTCTTGAGTTACATATGTGCAATGATGATTCGGTGACAATCTGTACGTTGTAGCAAATAGCAAAGGTATGGTTGATTACATCAATCATCAACGAGTAATGATCGCAAAAAATTCGGAACCTTAACCGGAGACGTGAAATTACATAAAATATCAGGTTAACTATGATATGAAGAAGAACCGACAACAATTAGAAAAGAATCGTACAAATCTTACAACTAGCTGGATTTCTCTTCCATATATTTCGTGCATAAGCGTATAGAGCAAACAAATACTTTTTAAATACTACATCAGTTAGCAGTAGTATAGCCGATGCTGAGATAATCGAGATTCTATCGTTTACTGATTGCTACTAACACTATTAAAGAGAACTTAATTAAAATTTAACTGTATTACATAAACCAGATGGAAGGATGGGAAAGTGTATCGACAAAGATAGGGGTAGTGGAATGTGGCACGTGCATGTTTCTGGTTCAGCATAAACCTAAAGAAACAATGATTACTAACTTGGAAAGAATTGTTGAGCTAGTATCTCAGGCTATGCATCATTGCGATATTTAAAAAAGAACATGATAAGACTTAAATGACATCTGTAGACCACATGCTTTAGAAGTACCTGATGTAAGGTAGTAAAGAGTGGGTAAGGAGGAAACATTGTTGTGACGAGGAAACTAAAGGCATGAGTAACTTTTGTAAGGAAATAAATAACTAAAGATATAAAAGAGCAAAACAAAGTCCAGTCACCTTCAAGAACTCACAGGCGATAGAAGTCCCTTAGGTTTTGTAAGAGAATAAAATTAACTCTTAGATTCATATACTAACAAATTTTTAATTTCCCTTTATCCTCAGGCTTGCAGTACTCCAGTATTGGGACTTGGACTTTGGACATATTCTAGAATTTGTACTTCGTAATTGGAACTTTGGATCTCGCTGACATAACACTGAAGATCCTTGTTTCCACAAACTCTAGATAATAAAACAAGAACTCACAGAATGGTTATTTCTCATAAAAGAAGAAACAAGATATACACAGATCATATTAAATCCATAAAAATCACCATGCAAAAAAGCATACCAAAAGCATACAAGTTTGAACATTTATAGCGTGCAAAGCAATTAACAGACATGCATAATATAGTAGCAGCGCGCAAATCATAAATAGTCATGGGAGGTAGAAATTTTCTTTTGGAACATGTGCACATTGCTAGAATCATAATAAAACAAGAAGTCACAGAATGGTTGAGCAGGGGCATTTTCTCATAAAAGAAGAAAAATAATCTATAAAAAAATCATGTAAAACACATAAATCATCAAGGAAAAAACCTACCAAATACTTGCAAGTTTTAATGTTTATAGTAAGCATGCTGATTAATGAATACGCATAACATAGTTTAGCGCACAGTTCATAAAATAGTCATGGAAGGTAGCAAGTTTGTTTTTGAACATGTGCATATTGCTAGTCATAAGATTACCTGAAGCTCCATATCCTTAGCCTTATGAGTGAGACAAGATAGTTCATCCTGTAGCCTCTGGATCTCAGCTTGTAGGACATCATGAGTCCGTACTGAAGATGCAAACTCTGATTGTAACTGCTCAAGTTCCAGCTCTTTCGAACACAGCTTCTCTCGCAACAATCTAGTAAGCAGGTTTTCCGCCTTCAATTCAAGTTCCACTTCATCCTAGACAGGTAGAAGAACAATTTCATGCTAAAACCAAAATGTAATACAAAACGAACAAATAAATACCATTCATATATCATTTTCTCAACCAATATATCTATTTTCAAAAATAAATACAAAACTGAATGATGCAATAAAATAGTAGAACTCTTTACCAGTAAGTGCTCTTAATACTACAGTTCCATGCAAGAAAACTTACAAAACTTTTATCCCTTTGTGTTGGCTCCTTAATTTCTTCGCATGTAGTGCACAGTTTGAATTATTTCATAAAACATAAACGATTATGCCAAGTACATAAGTTTCCGCCTATTTCAGAATTCTGAACATCAAAAGAAAGTATATGGACATCGGACAGTAGATTCCATGGCTTGAACAGATATGACATGTATTAAGAAACTGATAAATATATATACCAAGCTGTAAATATCAAATGTTTGAGGCAATAAAGAGTATCATACCTCTGAATTCTGAGTCCTAGATTGCCTTAAAATGGAAGATTCTGCAGTTTGTGACTGACACTCCAATGCTTCTACCTTAAACTTCTCATCTGCTATTGCTGCAACTGTCAACAAACTTCTTCTAAAATTTTCAACTCCTCGCCTTAGACTCTGATATTTAAGAGAGTATTCACCAACTAAGTAGCCATCAAAGTCCTTAGCTTCTTCGACATTTTCATACTTTTTGCACTTTATGAGATCTAGCAACTTGGTAAAAAACTGACTATGCTCAGTCAATAATGAAAGGGCCTGACCCTGCAAATAGTCCACCCTGTCACGTAGCTCCTGATCAAGCTTTACTGAGATAAATCCATTGCCATTTCTATTATCTCGTAAACGATTTAGTAGGGAAATGTGGTCACGCCTGAGAGTGTCTAGTTTATTTGTACAAGACTCTACCTCCTTACGCAGCATCAGCTCCACACCCGTCAATCTCACTTGCTCCATCTGCAACCTACTTAATTTTTCATCTCTATCAGTAGGATTTTTTGCAATTTCAGTGGAATATGCCTGTCTCAGCCCATTGATAGTCTTATCTTGTTCATTGCACATCTTCTGCAAGCGCACGACCACCTTTTGCAACTCTTTAGTCTCCTTCTCTTTAACCTTATAGTTTTGTCGGATGCAATCCAGATCCTCTTCAGCCCCTTTAAAGCGCTCCTGCAGCTCTGCTAAGGCCTGATGGAGATTATGGTTTTCTGTTCTTGCTTCTTCCAAACTAGATGCCAGATCATTCACTTCCATTTCAGAATTTATTATCCTGCTTCTAGTAGCTTCTTCATTGCCTTTCAGTGAAGAAATTTCTCTTTGCAAAGACACATTTTGCTCTGCTAGCTCTCTTACCCGTTCCCATAGTCTCTGCTCCTCAGATTGAAACTTTTCAAGCTTCATGGACCAGTCAGTTGATCTTCTGTCCAACTCTTTCTCCAAACTAGACTGCAATTCATTCTTTTCCTGTTGCAGTCTTCTGGTTCGGGTATCCAGCTCGAACTTGGCATGTTTTAGTCCTTCTCTAGTGGAATATCTCTCAGCAATTCGAGATTTTATTTGTGAAGAGAGCTCAAGGACCAAATTTCTCCTGTCTTGAGCAATGTTCTTAGTCATTTCAAATAATGCAGATGCGTCTAAAGTGCTAGGACGTAGCCTTTTTAGCTCCAGATCTTCATTAGACACAATGGTCAGCATATGTTCTACCTCTTTCACCTTTTCAAGTAACTCTTCATCTGAATTCTGTTTTAGCAGCTCAGTACTTGGCAAATTACCATTTTGTAAACCCATTGATCCTTTTTCACAGGAACAACTTTGCCGATCAGAGAATGGTCCCTCTGTAGAATAATCACTTTCATAAGGTATAGTAAAATCAGTGAAGCGCTGACTGGAAGTGCCGGACGAATCAGAAGTAGGTTGAGGATCTACTGAATCAACATAAATATCTTCTACTGTAGTAGTGGTTTCAGAGTCAAAATCCTGCGTTTTAGATAAAGATTTCACACGAAGCGCTTGTAGTAGCTTCTCAAGTTTTGTTTTTGACTGCTTATGTGATAATCGCGGCCTGACACTATCACCAGCTCGATCTCGTGTAAGCAGATGCCGGCGGAAATCTTTCACTTCCCTGAATGAGTATGTCCTGAGATTCTCCTTATCATAAGTGGGTGAAGATGGCGCTGTAGATAGACCTGTAGGTGGTCTTCCAAAATTAGATTCTATTTTATTCTCACCAAAGTAGCCATCATTTCGACTATCACAAAAATAGTTCTGAGAATCTTTTTTGGGTTCAACAACAGCCTGCTGCTCTCCATCTACATAAAGGTCAAGTGTACTATTATCATCTGTCACTTGTTGCAACCGAGCAGCACGGCACCTTAATGGAACTGGAGAACTATAAGGTGAAGCGCTTGATGGACAATTATGACCTCTGGATGAATTAGGAGAACAAATATTCCCGCTATCATAGAACTGTCGATCTGTGTCCAAATCCACTCTAGTGATTCTGGCATTTCTTTCCAGAACGGGTGAATGACACCTAAAGGGAAGAAGAGTAATTAAAACTAAAACAGTTTTTATCAATTTGAAAAATTAGCAGAAAGAACTGCAGAGACCACTAAAATATTAGCACCGGCATTATAAACTTTAAATCATAGAATATATGTTGCTTGTGTATGAATGCACAACGAACAGAAGTAATTAACAATATAGAAAAGAAAATCCAGATATCATAACAATCAGATTTAGATGCTCAAGAAGACCAATGACTTATCGCTAGGTCCACTATTCAGATTGAAATATTAAGAGTATTTAAGAGTAACTGATATTAATGTACGAGAACGTAACTACTAGCAGATATTATCTGAGAGAAAAAAAAAATACTAATACTGCACCATATAATTTAGAAAGAACCAGCCAAATTTCATGCTGTAAAAACATAATTACCAAGATAAAATCAGGTGGACCGTGGAACATATTTACAACCTAACAAGGTTGGAAAAGGAAGATTTCCTCAGTTCAAGGTAAGATTGATTTGGTACTATCAAAATGATGAAAGAACACTGTTTGTAAAATACATTGTGCAACAGAAGAACTAAGGATTCAGTATCTGATGCATTGTGACAATCTAGGTTTACCTACCATATTGTTTTCAACCATACTTATAAAAGTGGAGCATTTTATGGAACATGCAATTGCATACTCATATGCAGCACTGGCCAAAGGCTATGGGCTGTATTCATATGCTGAAGCTTATGCAGACATAGGGTTTTGCTTTGGAGTTTTTGGAACCCAAAACATCTACCCTTTTAACTTGAAAGTATGAAAATATGCGAAGTACTACTATCAAAGGTCATACTTTCAAGAAGATTTTACTAAACTGTTGAGGAAGAACCAGTGACATTCCATGATACATAAATAAGCATGATTAGCAATAGTATTGTTTGGCACATTACATGTTTACAACTTAACAAAGGTGGAAAGAGAAGAAGATAACGAATTTCCTAGATTCAAGATATGTGTGGTTTCAGTATTATCAAATTCATGAAGAATAGACCAGTAAAGTGCACTGTGTAACAAAATACTAATGACACGATGTTGGATGCAACCAAACCACATGGCTTCATCAATCACTTGCAGCTCATTGTAATTAAAATATAGGACATGCTATATGCACCTCAATATTTAATATGGACACATACAAATATTCCTTACATGCAGCCGGATCTGGTGATATGGTGCCATTTATAGGACCCATAAAGAATGCTGGAAATCGTGTCCAAAACTCCTGCCCATTTTACTTTTTCACACCTCCCACCAGGAAAAAGATAAAGAAATTTCTGGCAGATACAACACATAAAAAGAAGACAGAAGCAAATATTTCTATTCTCTTCCCTTTTTCTCTTCTTCCATTTCTTTTCTATTCTTTTCTTTTTCACTTCTGTAACAATGTTAACTATTGTTTCTGCTACAGTTCAAATTTCATCAGGAATGTGGAAGAAAAATGGGGAATGCAGTAAGCAAATACCACATTAAGAAGAAAAAAAAGATATAAAAGTGTGTTTCTATATAGAGTTATAACATTTTATGTTCAATGTGAATTATATGTTTATAAATTATGTGGTTACGATTTATGATCTCATAGATACAGTATGTCTAATGCCACATCCAATAGAGTATTAAAAAGTGGAACCAATTAAAGGATCAAAGGGCCCCATGTGGAAACCAATTAAAGGATCAAAGGGCCCCAAGTGGAAACCAATTGAAGGATCAAAACGCCCACAGAGTGTTTATTATTGCATCTGCAAGCAAGCTATTAATGAGGCTAGCCCCCTAAGCAAAGAGAAAGAGCTTCCATAAAACAGGTGTAAGTGAATACTGAGAGGAGGTAATCAGAAAGATGAATTTGGTGTAACAGCCTACTAAAAAGGCCTCAAAGACATTGTCTTCCTCAAATGGCATCATGCAAATCCTAATGGAAATGCCAAGACCAAGGTCACAGAAAGTGAGGCAGCCTAGGCGCTAGAACCGACGCTTAGAGCCTAGGCACCTATGCGGGAGCCTAGTTGGGGCCTAGGCAGTTTTCCTATTTTTTATTTTTTAATTACAATAATTGATAACAAATGCCAATGTTATAGAAAGCGTAGAGGCTGCACTAGCACCTAGGCAGATTTGCTTTCTTCGTTTAAGTGGTGATGGATGAGGTTTTGCTGAAGGTAAGAGGAGGCAGTGGCGGATCCAGAAAATATTTCTTAGAGGGGCGAACAATAAGTATCTATTTACCTAAATGAAAATAGAATACTAATTTCAAAGGGCTGTACGGAAAAGGGCCACTAATTTGTAAATGCTAAATGAAAATTATTTGAAATTTCAAGGTGAGGTGCAAAACTTTTAATACAAAGGGGGACAAGTTGCAATTACAGAAGGGTTCAAAATGCAATTTCCAGATTGTTAGGAGTGCAACTGTACCCCTAATCAACCATATGCATCCACCCCTAAGAGGGGGTAGAGGTGGTGTTCACAGCTGGAGGCTAGAGGAGTTTAGAGGATGTTAGAGGACAAGGAAGCTACAACAGAGAAAATCATAATCAATGCCTAAGAGATGCAATCCACATAAGTGGCACACGCTCCCCTAGGTGCTCCCAAAATCTAGGTGGGCAGCTTATGTACCGCCTAGTCATAAGCACTAGGCAAGCAACCTAGGTTCCACCTAGACCAAGGCGGGCTAGGTGAAGGCTTTTTAAAATATTGGCAAGAACACAAAGAAAGTGTTAAATCAAGCTAAATTGAAGAAATATAGCGAGAAAATCCATTTAAGAATATTACCTGCGCTATAATATGTCAAGATTTTCTATGCCTTGTTAGGAAACTCCCTTGAGAAAATGCCAAAGATTTTCCCTCATTAATATTTCCACTAGCATCCAGGATATCATTTGTTAGTGTGCGTTCATACAAGCATGTTTTCTATTTTCCGTGAACCAGGAGCAAAAAAAGAGAAGAAACTGTAAAGATGAATATCTAGCTGTCATGTATTTTTCAGAGAAATATGGGGTTGTTCCAAAGTCATAGAAGCGTAAAATGGTTGTTATCTGTCTGTTGTGTGTTTCGAGAGGGAGGGATCTCTACCTAAATTCTCCTTAATTCCTCTACATTCTTTCCTGTTTTGAATAAATTATTAGCTTCCCTCAGGTGGTTATTAAACAAAAACTTTATGAACAGGATAAGTGTGGCCAAGCAAGGTGCTTTGTTGCCATACCTAACAAGCAAAAATATGTCGACCAGCTTTTAGAGGTTAACAGATGGTTGAGATACGGTGCACTCCTTTCAATTTGAGCACCTAGCCCCGCTCCATATGGCCCAATTTTAATGGGTGAAGGGCCTCGAAATAATGGCTAAGACCATGTCTTTGAATAAAATTATTGCCATCATTATAAATGCAGAATTCATCCAGAATTAATCTTAAAGTATCATACACATCTATCAGTTTTAAGATATAGATCACGATTTCCTTTCCCCAATAGTTTTGCACAGTGAATAGCTACGATAGTGGTCTCCAACTCTGAAAATCTAATAAATTGATGAAGGATACACAAAATATTCCAGGAAGGCAAGAACCTTAAGGGCCTACTTTTGAAGTTTAAAGTGGGAAACAATGTCTTACCTGTTAACTGAAATGATAAGTATAGTGATATGCAGTGAATAAAGTTCTCTTCCTATCTCTTCATATCTTTAAAAAAGTTCAATTAATTTTAAGCAAAACAAAAAGATGACAAAAGGATATAAACAGAGCTAATTGGATACTAAGGTCCGTTTGTCCCATATTGACTGTATGAGGAGTTAAGTGGGAGCTTATTAGAGATCTAGGCTCCTCAAATAGCTAGCTTTTTGGCGTGAATTCTCATAGGTCCCTTAAAATGATAACAGAGCCAGCCAACCTCATCTTCTAAGTTGCAAGAAAGCAGCAAGGGTGGTTACACGGATATTGCAATATTCGCTACATAGTATAGTGCAAAGCCAAAGGGGCAACATCAGTAAGTATTACAATGTTCGCCTGGAACTAAACTAGTGCAAATCCTACCCATGTGGGTGTCGGGACCGCGGAAGTGTGGCAATATGCTTGGGTCCATTTGTCCCACATTAACTAAATAGGGAATCGAGTGCGGGTTAATTTTTGAACTAGGTTCCTCCCTCAAACAACTAGTTTTCAGGGCTAATTTTCTCCAGGCTTTTAACTTGTTCAAAGATAACTCAATCTCACTTGAACACAAGGTTGGTGAGATCAATAGTATATAATTGAGTGCAGATACTGATTAGAGTTGCAAATAAGTCTTCAAACCAAATTGAACTTTCATCAATAAAAATACATCAATAAACACAATTAAGCCTAAATTCAATAGAACTTCCACAACACAAGTAATACGATATTAAGACCTAACAGAAATTCACTAACAAAGATTCGCAATCTAAAGGGACGAAAATCTTGAGATCTTTCACCTTAATTAGATACCAAACCCTAAACCCCCCCCAAAAAAAGGAAGGAAATTACGGGGGAAAAGGAAAAAGAAAAAAATAGTTACATCGGAGGAGACCTGATGGC